AATAAAATCAAATACTTTCGCATAAACTTAATGAAATACAAGCAATATTCCTAACTTATATGCACAAGTAATATTCACTGTAATATTTAACAGTTTAATACCATCTGCTCAATACTTACGTAGTTCCCAGGTGCACCACTTTGCTGCGGCTGTGGACAACTTGCGCATGGCCACCAAATACAGTTTCCACGTTCGCCCGGCGGCTCAAAAGCGCCTCCAGGCGGGCGGAACTCGCAGCTCCAATGCCCGGGCCGACTTCCACGATGAGAACGAGATCGAGAGTGGATCCGGACATCTGGCGGGCCAGAGCATCGTCATACCCACCAAGGGCTGTAAGTGGTTTCCAAGTATTATCTAAGTATTGACCAACTTACTGAACGAACTGAACACATCGCTGGGACGCAAATTGTGTTCGGGTAAAATTCAGTACTTATTTAAATTGAATATACTTTCCGAAACTTACCAGTCACCGCACATGCCACCCAGTGCTTGCCGCACGCCTCGGAGATCGAGGTTGAAACGGGTCCGTACTTCGGAGGACGCATCGTCGTGGATGGAGGAAACTGTGGGATCAAGGGCGATGCCAGTGATGCGGCGGACAAGTACACCATGAGGATCGATCACAAGGAGTGCGGGAGCTTGGTGAAGCCGGAGACCAGCACGGTGGAGACCTTCATCACGGTGCAGGAAAACCTTGGCATATTTACCCACAGCACAAGACGGTAAAGCACATATAGACCACTTATAACTATAGCGCAATTTTCAACACCCCCCTTCCAAATCCTAGCTTTGTAGTGGTCTGCAGCTACCACTCGGGCATGCAGACGGTCCGCGCAAGCTTCACTGTACCCGGAAAGAACGGCGTGGCCGCCGCCTACGAGCCGAACGACGCATTTGAGCCAGATGAGGATCAGCGCCTGGGCAGGGAACTCCGTCAGATGCGCTACGTCAACAAGACGGAGCTGGTGCTGCGCGAGCCCGACTCCCAGCGGGAGTCCCAATCCGATTCGGAGTCCGAGGAACAGGCTGCCGTGGTGGAGCAGTCCCCGTCGCCCACCACAGAGCAGGCTGCTCAAGCCAGAGGTCAGGGCAGAGCTCTGAACCTCAACGAGGTCAACGGCTTGGCGGATGAGCCGGCGGAGCAGCAGCACTTGGAGCCTGTGGTGGGCACCAAGTACGCCAAACTGGTTGTCGACCAGACCCACAGCTCCTGGATGCCGTTGGAGGAGGGTTCGCCACCAGGTGGCAGCGACGAGAATGAAGGTAAGTGGCCGTTCCAGCGACAATCGTGATTCCCAAAAGCTAAGGAAAAAATACAACAAATATTTTTGATTTGATTCAATACATTTCTTGTTCAAATGAATTGTTTCTTCTATGGGAATGATATATATTTTATATTACCAACACATAGGTAAAGTAAATATTTCCACATCCTTTTTCTTCCTATGCAGCCGTTCTGCGTTATATTGGCTCCCATCTGAGCAGCGTGCTGGTAACCGTCTCGCTATCTGTGATAATCATCAGCATTTGCATCGTTCTGCTGCAGCGCCAGCGGATCCGCTCGCCGCCCCGCAGCCCCTCCCCCTGCCTGGCCGCCCACCTGCCGCACAAGACGCTGCCGCGTGCTCTGCAGCAGCAGTACCAGTGCACCTTGTAGGTGCCCCTGCCCCACCGCCCCACCGCCCCGACTTGCAACTGCTTAGCTATGCCCACTTGTCTTGCTGAATGTCAAAGTTTTGAGCGGAAGAAACTACATTTGGCTGAAGATGACTGCGCATAGCCACGCCCTCAGCCCCGACCCGGGAAAACGGTTTCCAACTCAAGCCCCATCGGCACCAGTGGGTTAAGCATCCTCCGATTTACATAGTTGTAAGCTCGACTTCGACTCTGGCCAAGCTTTAACTGCGATTGCGGGAAGGACAGGAGGAAGCGGGCAGGGCACTTCTCATAGAGCGAGATTAGTCTGTAGACGCGTAGACGTAAGATTATGTAAATTATTTATGCGCAGAGAGAATATATGTACTGTAGCTACTTAATAAAGTATTTTATTATATTTGTACCGGACTAGCAGCCAACTCAATGCATGTACTCCGCTACTTCAAAAGGGAAACCTGGCCTAAAATTTCAACTAGATCTAGAAACCAGAATCCAACCAGACCGATAGTTAAGAGAAAATTGCAGTTAAGCGAAATAAATAAAAATATGTAGCCCACAATGATTTCCGTTAACGAATCTTTCCCAAGCATTGGATTCAGAGTCTGCGGAACTGAAAGTCAGTCAATAGGTCGCCTCCCGATAAAGTAGCACTCCTCCACGAAGTGCCCACTTCTGCCCAAGCAGCTTGCCGAAATCTAGGTTCCCACTGCCATCATCATCAGACTGTCGTTTCGGAAGTACGTTCTTACCGATTTCATCAAGGGTTACGAGTGTGTGGTGTCTGGGCTTCTGGTCGTAAAACAAAATTACGAAATTATGTTAAGATGTTGGCTCGTCAGTCGGCGATTTGCATGAAAGGGGCGCACAAAGTTGTCAACTCCGCACGTTCTTAGTTCTCCACTTGGTCTTCATCGGCTTGCCCGGCTCAAACGGAAGCCGGCAAATATAAAACATGTAACGAGGCGGCCGACAAAAGACATTAACTGCAGTCGTGAGCCCGTCTCGTTATTGTTGCCGGTTGCCCAACTCGGAGGGGCGACTCCAGCTCAGTGCCACCAATGCCAAGTGGAAGCCGAGTCCAGAAAGCAGAGACTGCGGCGAAAGGCGTTCTGCTAACTTTCTGATTGAAGTGCCTGGACTTGGGGATCGCTGGATTTTGCATAGAAAAGCCATTAGGCTCGGCTTTTCATCATCATCGCCATCAGATACAAAAGGTTTGTCTGGCCTTTTGTTTGCATTATTAGAACACAAAACCAAGTGAGCGTTAAGATCGCTCAAAAGCGCGCAAAAGCCGAAGCAACAAAATGGAAAACTACAAAATACTAGATAAACAAACTTTCTCATCTGCAAGCCAGAATGCACTGGGAAAATAGTTCAAGCGACTAAAATGATTATAAAAACACCTGGAAATTAAATCTATTTGTTTTTATTTAGTAGCTATTCTAATCTTACACACTTTAGGTACATATTTTTACTGAGTAAATGGAGCTTCTTTTGTATTTATAGTTCTTTATTAATTAATTTATTTAAGTTATTTAGTTTTGGTAGCTGGGTAGAGTGGGGTATAGTATGGTGGATTTTAGTAGCCTCTAAAATATTTATATTCTTGACTAGGGAACTATAGAAGCTAGAAAGCTCAGAAGATCGCCACGCCCAAACTGACACCCATTGACTAAGGGGTATCTGATAGTGTAGGTACTCTGTAGGCACAATGTTGTGTATACATTTATAAGTTATAAATTTTTTTAAGTGCTGGTTGAAGCTGAAAGAATCTGCGATAAGTCCCAGCGTTTGCCTTCACCTTCACCCATTTCAATGGGCCTGTGGTGCCGGAGCTGCACCACCGCAACCACCAGCGGCTGCTCAAATTTCACCCACAGTGGGGCCTGGCGTTTTGACGTTGATTAGCATGTGGCACACATAAATCTGTGGGATTGGGCTTCCGTTTCCCTTTTCGAACGCACTCTCCAGATCTCGAGATCTCTGATGGCGGCCGAGCATGACGTGGTGGTGCATTCACCAATTGAGGAGCCGCCGGGGAGTCGAGTGGAGTTGTGGAGTTGTGGAGCCGTGCATAATGAGGCCAACGATCTTGGCCAAGAAGCCAGCCGAACCAGTTAATGAGTCGCCGCTGTCTTGGATTAGAATGCGAGCAGCTGACGAAGACGAAAGTAAAACTGCCCCGAGAAAGTTTCCATTTATCGCCAAATATAGAAATCATTTTTCTTCTTTTATTTTTCTGGCCGGGATTATTAACGTTCGAACGCAGCAGGGGATTGTTCTCTAGGGGTAATTACTGGGCCACCTCCTTCTCCAGCTTACGTGTAATTATCTGCGATCTGAACCCGATATTCGTGTCAGATCCCCAGATCTGCATTCTGCCGGCAAATTGCACCCAAATGCTAGTGCCCCCCCTTTTTGGCCCAAAACAACTAGCCAGCATCTGGGTTATCTTTTGGGCAATCGTGATCTGGCAGAACCACAAAATGGAACAGTCGCCGAGCGGCTCATTGTTTTTAGCCATCATTTGTGTTGGGGTTTCTGTTTTGTTTCCGAACCCAGATTCTGGGCTAATGACAGTCGCACTTTTTAATGATTGTTATTATGAATTATGTGTGGTTTTCCGAGGGGATCTGGCTGAAGAGGGGGTAGAAATTGGTGTCAAATTGGGGAATTGTTGGCAGCTCAAAATGGGTGAGATTCAACTTTTCGGTTATGAGGTTAAATACAGTTTTGGCCGGAGTTCGTCGACAGCTTTAATTTAATTTTAATTTCATCTGGCATTTGGAAAACTTTGGCAAGTTATACATCAAATGCGTATTGCCATTCATTGATACCTCAGCAATCTTTTGATAAATTACGTATATTTTTGATAAGTTTGTTAAATTGTGTTGCTGAGTTAGGTATAAGAATTCTATTTGTACTTCTAAATGCGGCGAAGATTAACAATGCAGTGAAAGTGCTATCAATACATGTATAATTAAAGGTTTTAGGAACTCCCATGGATAATATTTTATTACAAAGAACTTCTCCTCAAGTTGAGTGACATTTAAATTTTGTAATATATAGATTTCACAGGCAGTCAAATATAAATCGGTGATCAAAATGTTTGGGAACACAATTAGTTGTTTTGAAACGAAGTTGCTTCATTGATTTTCGGAGCTCAAGGTGCAAACATTCTAGGTCTCCTTTCTCGCATCTGATCATTTCGATGTCAGTTGCCAAGATAAATAAATAAATAGATAAATTTATTAATTTTTAATAAATAAATAAATAAGAATATAAACCAAAGCCCAACAAAAGAATACAAACGGTTGATTTGCATTTTTAATATGTCAGGTCAAATGGACCAACGAGTAAAGGAGCTGTATTTAAACAAAGACCATCATTTCGATTTGATTTCGAGCTATTCTATGAACTTGGTAGTCGGTTGATTCGCTAGAAAGGTTAATGCTCCGGTCGTTGTTCTTGCCCCCAGTCCACCCAGCCAGGTGCTAAACCCTCTGATTGGCAATCCCCACGATAAAGTGTAGATGTAGATAGTTCTCCATCTCCACATTCGGACAGCCTCTTGTACGGAATATTTGTGTGCCAAATCGACCGAAATCGCAAATGGTACAAGTAAGTATAATAGTTTGGAGCCCCAATGATTTCCATTCCAGGGGGATTTTCGGGGATGACCATGCCGGAATACACTTCTGTACCGCCGCAAACGAGAGACCCATTCGACCTAGAGTGCCAGCTGCCATTGAGATTGGAGGCATTCAGATCAAGGAAAAGTTGAATAACCTCCCTAAGAACCTGGAGAAGTTCCTTAGCAATGCTACCCAGGGGTCCATTCTACTGAGGATGGGTTCCAATGTTCAGGGAATCCACATCGAGCCGGATGTAGGGAACAAGATACGGAGCGTTCTCCCGAATCCCAAGCAGCCACAGAGTTATCTTCGCTCTATCAAAATCGCCCAGCGAGTGTCCGGGATTCTTTGATCTTCCGGATATAGTAGGTTACTCGGCACCAAGGGGGAGCAACTCCAGACTCCCTTCGTGCACATCGATTTTATAGCCACTAATAACCTGGATATACATGCCTTAATGGCGCCTTTTTAGTTGGTCTGTTATTAATGATAAAGAGAGTTGTTCTAAGCATAGGCAAAAGGCTCACAACAAGTTAAATAAGGTTAGGAAGCAATGATTATTATAATGATGATTAATCTAATATCTTATAATATAGTAATATTTCAAGATTTATCTATGCGGCCACAAATAAATGAATGACGAGAATTTACAATCCTGGAATATCGTGCCTCTCCCAAAAGTTCAAACGAGTTCAAGCGAATAAACTCGGAATGGATATGGGATTGCGCGGAAACTACTCCACCAAATCGGGTCTTTAACTCTGTGATACCTAATTACATCAGCATCGAAATGCCCTTTTAATTCGAGAATGACAGGACCCGACCAAGTGGCAGTGAATCGTCATGGCCATAAACAGTACTCATTGACTATATAAAGTGTAACTACAGATGCTTCGAGCACAAGTTAGCGTAAATAAAAACCTGATGTTTGGTTAATTTTCTTTTCCATTTCCCGCCGGGATTCCCCTCACGCACCACGCGGCAGAACCGAAGTAGAATGACAAGTGGAAGTGCCTTGCCCAGATCCAAAGGCCTGGACTACAGCCTGGTTATAGCCTTGCACTGCGAGAATTAAGAGCATTAAGTCCAATGTACAATAAGAGTAATAATACGAAAAAAATAGGCAAGGAAACACGTATTGCGGAAAGTATAGACCACATTTCTATAAAAGTTGCAGGTTCATAGCATAATTTTAGTAGAATATTAGCCAAGATCTTCCCGTGCACTTGGACATATGCACCTGCTGTTTTTGCCTTCCGCTGATTTGCTGCACCGCTGCATGCAAGTTATGTCTCTATCAGGTTTAGTATTTGTATCTGACGCCGCGGCGTGCAGAATTCGCAGCCAACTTGATGCATGGACGCAGTTGAAGCGCAACGGTTGCCGCAGCAACTGCAAGTGCAAGTACAAGTACATCTGCAACGGCAGCCTGCAACGTGCCACATGCGGAAACCACTTTGGCAGCGACTGTTGCAACCGTAGCAGCCCATTCCCAGCCCAATCCCAGCCCGAATAACATTCTCGGTGTCGCAATGCGTTGCACGCGTAACTTTGCCTCTTTTTATAGACGTCATAGGCACCCTACAGATTGTTACCGAATGAGAAAGTACTGAAAATGATTTGAAGCTTGTAGATATAGTTGTCTACTTTGAACTGCTGAACATAGCAGTATCACAAATTGTATAATTTAAGAGTAGTATGTTGAAATGCGACAGTCGCACCGCTACAATTGTGCACTTGAGGCCATTAGTTTAAATACCAGTTTCAAGTCGTGTTCTTCTCCTTGGCCATCGCGCATTTTTAAGCACATTTTTAGGTCTCTTCCTTCGGCTCGTCTCGTTTTGGCCGGCGCGAGTGGCTGGCGGCATCCCAAGGCGGTCCAGCGGGCCATCCCAGTTCACCACAACCCATCTTGGCCCATTCGCGGCCACGCCATGGCCAAGCAAGCTCAATCCCAATACCCATTTGCCGTTCCCCAGAATGGCCATTCCATTTCGGCTCGGAGCTCATAACTGTTCTTGACGCGCTTACCTTTGAAATTAGCTGGCCTGGCCAATTCCAGCGTGCGTTTTGGCCCATTCTGAGTGACAACGGTGGCGGTCACGGCCAGCAGAAACCAACCAGCCACGCCCCCTGCGCCCGCCCCCTGCTAATCAACTGCGTATTTCAATTTACCGTTGCCAAAAGTCAAAAACAATACACTGAGCGGAGAGGAGCAGACGTGGGGCACTGGGGGAAATTCAGAATAAGCCATGGAATGGTACTATTTATCTTTATATAGCATGCTTTAATTCTGACTTTGTGCCTCTTTGCTGGTATTTTATATATTATATTTATCAATCGGAGCCGCACAATGCAGATACTTTTTTGGCAGTGCTGTGGAGGCGGCCAGTGACTAAGCGAGTGACTCTAACAAGAAGTTATCTTCGGGGGGACTTAGGTTGATTGCGATTTTTATGCGACACCCGTTAGTTTGGCATATTATGTTATAGTCGCACTCTGTAATGTAGGTTCTGCGGATCCAGGGCCTCCGGACAAGAGAGCTGTGCAGATGGTGGGAGATCTGCGTGCCATTTCGTGGCTGTATTCCCTGAACCCAGCAGACTCCACTCCGCGTTAGGTAATTTTCCCATTGAATCTGCTCCAGATTCGCACACAATTGCTCCGCCACTTGGGCCTCTACCGCGCACTCCTCTCCCTGATTTATGTATTTTGCCGGGCTTTGCTAATTTTTATTTGCTTGCAATTTCCAACTCTTTCTCGAAATAATTGCGAAAAAGCTGCTAAGAAAATAAACGGAATTGGGCGCAGGGCGAAAGTGTAGTAAGCCACCTTAAATGGGTTCGGGCCATTAAATCTGCGGCCCGATGAAACTCATTTGGGCCGCCTTGCTGCTTTCCTCACTCGTTGGATTTCTGTAAGCCAGGCTATACATATAGCCCAATGGTCTCTGTGAGAGCCATCCGCAGATAATCGCCGAAAGCTGCACAATTAACATTGCCTGGGCTTGGGTAGATCAGATCCAAGAGGGCTGATTCCGATTTACCAAGATGTGACGGGAAGGAAATTCAGCACTTACAACTCGAGTGAATTTCTAATAAAAAGCGCTTACGCCAACCCCACTTAGGAATTTCTCTTTTAAGGCTTAAGTGCCTGAAGATCATAATTGCCAACATAACTACATTTTAATAACTGAATATTGCGATACTTTTGATAGATATTTAAACAGACAACCAAATATCTACTTAAGCAGAGTTCTTAAAGATTAAATAATCTTTATCATAATTGCCAACATAACTACATTTTAATAACTAAATTAATGCGATACTTTTGACAGATATTTAAACAGACAACCGAATATCTACTTAAGCAGAGTTCTTAAAGATTAAATAATCTGTATCCAAATAATCTATTTAGTTAATTGCTATAGATGTTCAAACTTTAATATATATTATATATGGATGCGCTCATACCTTTTTAAAAGCCTTCTGAAGGCACTTAAATCGTGCTAATGATTCTCCCCACCGGTTTAAAGCTCTTTAAACGATCAAATAATTTATTCCAATTCTGACTCTTCCCAGCGAAGACCATTTGGTGTTTCCCACCAAGGAAGTACTCTTTTTAGCACCAGCACGAACTTGAGAACACCATTTACAACTGCTATGTGAGCAAACTAATTCGAACTTTTCCCAGGCCGAGCTCTTCCCAGAATTTTCACTTTGCATTTCCGAATACCCAACCCAAATCTCCCACTACGATTGCTCCATAAAGAAGGCACATTTCACTATCAAATCTTTAAGCCGTATCCCGCGTCGTCCGATTTTCGGGAGCTATGACCCCAGAAAGCACTGAGATCTATAAAAATGAGTGATATAGGGGCGGGGGAACGGAACAGAGACGTCAGAGACAGCAGACAATGCCAACGTTTTACTAACTTAATTCTACAGCTCGCATTAATCAGGCCCCAGCTCCACCCGACATAATTATATGATTAATAAGCCCCATTGTGCGCCGTGAGTTGGTTGGATGAGCGTGAAAATGAAAGTGCTGTCGATGGATGGTTGGAGAACTATGTGTGCAGGGGGGACTGCTCCGCAGAGATGGCAGTGCAATTTTCCGTTGCACTTTTCGATTTCGCACCGGTCCGCGGGCTCCGTTACTATGTATCTTGTAGTACAGTAGTATGGTATATGGGCGATATGGCCACCTCCAACGTACCCATTGTTTGCTTTTAATCTCCGACGTGCGAGCGCAGACAGGTGCACTTATTACTGGCGCTGCGAATCGGATCGCTCATCGCTCATCTAGCGGATCGAAAGGCCTTCATGTAGACGCATGGAGGCTGACTTATGGCCAGCACTGTGCTGCCAAGCACAATTCAATCGAACGGCTTTTCGGCTTTTCAGTTTTTGCTTTTTCCCAATATCGTAGACGCATTTAGATACAAAACCACTATCGTTCCTACACAGCCTTTGAATATTTTAAATTCCAGACATTTCTCCGCTGCATAGTGTACACTTGTCAATTTTCGTGTGCGGAAAGTGCTGAAAGTCGGTGTCAGACGCGCTTTCGTTGGGCATTAATAACAGCAGTCAATAATAAATATACTCGAGGTGTCCCGAAGCTGGCACGCTCGCTTTGAATGTAATTAGGGTCACAAGTGATGGAGATGGAGATCGAGCCGGAGATGAGCCACCAACCATTAGTGCTCAGCCACCGCGCCACTCTGGTGGATCGACTTTGGGCCAAAAAGCGACGCCAAATGGTTGCTGACAAATGCCAGAGCACAGTGGAAAACCTTTCCTAATAGTTTTGCCATGTAAAGCAGAACACTGAAAGAAATACTGAGAAATATTGTGTCTCGCATAAGAAGAACTCCTTATGAATGAGCAGCTTTAATGAAAGCATTGTGAATCAACAATTTTGTTTAAAATCTTAAGGAAAAGCTTTATTTCTTTTCCCGTGTATGCTTGTACTTCAGCCATCAAGAAATTTGAAAACTCAGCGTGGACCGTGAATTGGGTTAGAAGCATCGCCTTACATTGACACCGATCGAATTGAGCCATCGCGAATCTATGCCAGCCAACGCTGCGTATACGTATGCCGATGCAAACGAGAGTATCCATATCGATGACGTTCTGTCCTCTCCTGGCTTATGCCGCTAATCACGATTGCCGTGGATGATGAGCTGCTGACGATGGATGTGGTGGCCAATGTGGGTCACCTGGCTTGATGCTCGGCCATGGAAAAGTGTTTCTAGGCTGCTCTTAGCAAATAAATCTGGCGATTTACCATTTGAAGTATGAGCTTGTGAGAGCGTGTACTCAAATACTCAAATTCAATTTCTGCCTCAAGTCTCGTGCACAGAGTAATTACGACCAGAAGGCGTCAAACGATAGACTCAAAATAAATTTCTAAATATAAGAGGGCATTCCACAATAAACTTATAAGCTGAATAACAGGATACAAATTTTACAATTGTCCACAATTAAAAAAAAAAGGTTTGTGATTCGACTATTTTTTTGCCCATTTTTATTGAATTCCAATTTCAAACTTATTGAACTTGTTAATTACAAAATTTCGCCCTCGCACTCCACCCGCATTAAGTAACGGGTATCTGATAGTCGAGGAAATCGTTTAAGCCTAGGCAAAATCATTAAAGAAGTCTATGTACTAGACTAGTTAAGGGTAATGCATTGCTAATATTAATTAAAAGCAATATTTCATGCTTCGGTCTAATTTGAGTTCTAAGAACTCAGGTTTAGGAAAGAAAGATCCGATTACAATGGGAAATAATTAGTGGTATACCTGATTACAGAATTGTTTCAATCGGGCAATTAAGCATGATAAATGATTTAGCTGTCAGTTACAGTCTCCGCCTCAAAGTAAATGGCTTAGTCCAGTTAGGGAAGTATGCTTAAATCGGAGTGGCTGCAAACCATAATTAAGAGCCATTTGTAATAGTTAACCTCCTCCGTGGACAAGCCTGAGGAAAGCCACAGCACATTCCCCTAAACAAGTAAAACAAAAGTAAAAGCTAAAGGCAAATGAGAACTGGAAACTGTGAATTTCTCCACACTTAATATAATATATCAGTGGATCTATTAATATGTAATAATATGTACTCAGCCACCAACAACCATGGTTAACCAAATGAGACAAGCCATACAACACAACTGCTACATGTGCAATGCAGATATTGTGGTTTACATTGTAATTTCAGTTTCAGGCCGAGTTGCCAGCAGATGAATCTGGATGCTGACATCCATGGGTTAGCGTTGAAAATGGGTTAGCTCTGCGCGCACCAGGCGGATTATTTATACTTTAGGAGGCCCAGTTAAGAGAGTTAATTCCAGTGCAGCGCCAGTTTCATTATCCCCACCTGGCGGTTCCATCAAACCCATTATTTTGTTAGTCAACTGCGGACGGAGACGCAGCCTAGAGAACTTGGAAAAAATGTTGTTTAAAATGAAATTCCTAGCTCAGAGCATTACGATTTTCCACAGTGAATGAGACCTAGCTTATTGTAATGCTGTACATTTTGGTTGTCTATCAGTGGTTTATCATAAAAATCTAAATATATTCAAGCAAGTAAAGTAACTCATTTGGCGTACAAGCTATTACTTCTAGCCTAGTTAGATTAGGCTTACTTCTTCTAACTAACAAAATTGAATACCAGCGCGGTGGAATATATTCCCAACATTACTGGTTTTAATTTTATGCAACTTCCCCCGTCAAATCAGCGAGCTTCTTTCTCCACGTGTAGGCCTTGATAAATTGCTAACCAGGCGGTAATTGCTAATTATTAATAATTTAATAGCTGGAAAATAAGAGAGGCAGCCAGCCAGAGAGCGGCCACTAATGATTGTCATTAAAGCTGGAGTGCAGCCACAGGGCCGAGGTGCCACAACATCCAACCGTTTAGTTAAGCAGCTGCAATACATTTTGGCCAGCAAGCAGGGGGAGCAGCAACCTCTCAGATTGCTACGAAAACTTCCGCAAGCCTTCGCATCCGCAAGTCCAAAGCTGCTTCGCACCCATGTTCCACGGCCCCATGGGGGCCAGGAAGTGGAAGTGACACATTCCGGCCAAGTCTGCCAGCCAGCCAGCCAGCCAGCCAGTCTGCATTGTTCTCAAATCCTTACTGACACACTGAAATTGTTTTGCCAACAATGTCGCTCGGTCTTGACGTGGTTTGTTGCTCATTTGTCGCCATCTGCCGCTGCCGCTGCCACTGCCACTGCCTTTGCATGTTCCCGCTGACTGATTGCAATCTCATTATGCTCCCCTGCAGTCGGACACGGGTTTCCTCTTCCCAAGTCGCAGCAAGCAGAGCAGAAAAGGCGCCTGGCACTCCGAATTATTCAGCAAAAATTGTCAGACAAGCGGTAGCGGTTATACATTGTTTTAGATTCTTGGACTCGTTAAATCGTTAGGCATTCTTGGGATCCGGAGTGGTGCTGTTCTGCTTATGTGGGTTCCGATGGCAATCTGCAGATGCAGCCACTTGGGAATGTAGCAACTCAATGAAAGCCTCTAATTCGTTTACATTTTCTGAGCGTGTATATTATTCAATAAATGTTCTACGTATAATCAGTAAATACAACATTTTGAGCGGTTTTTCGTACTTTGTTGCAGCTTACTAAAGTATTGGCACATTTTTAAAAATTTAGCATAATCCATTTGAAGTCCTCATCCAAACAAAGATCAAAACTGGGTCTATAACTTACACAAGCAGCTCTGAAAAGTTGCACGGCGGCAACCTCGTTAAATAAGTTTTAAACTAAAGTGTGTATAATCTATGCCAGTAAAATACGCATGTTGTCTAGGCTTTTACAATGAAGGTTAAATCTAGGCATTTAACGAGATAAGGGGTTATAAGCAGATGATCGCTGAAGTTGTGCGAAATTAAAGAAATTACGCATGCGATCAATCAAATATGTGAGGTATTTTTGCGGGGATCAAAAAATAATTTTCATTCATATTTTGATTGTTGCCACCAACACTTGGGCTTTACATTTTTCAGACATACCGAAACCTCTTTGATAGACCGCACGATAGATAGATAGATGGGTAGATAGATGGATAAAAGATAGAAGCAGATGCTTGGTAATATTACATACAATTGGCATATTGTCCACTCACAAATATACATACACATAAATAGTGCTCGGTAAATACAATCCATATACGATTACAAAGTCCATATGTAGTTAATTTTTTGGTAACTGACCCACTGGCCCCGAAGATGCAAAGTAAAAGTGTCTAAAAGTGAATTAAAGCTAAAAGCAGCGGCGGGTATTGTTTCGATGTATCGATCAGGGATCCTCTCCAGAACGGAATCCCCCTCCCGGTCACTTGCATAGTCAACACTTGGGGGTGTTGGCCCCGCTGCTCACGCTGCTGGTCTCCAAGTGCTGCATGAGCAGCTGCTGGAGATCGGCTCGCAGGGCCCGCTCCTCGTTGATCTGCAGCTTGATCTGGGACATGTCCTGCTGCATCTGGCGAATGGCGGTCCACAGTTGGCGCAAGGTGGGGGTCATGTCCTCGTTTTCAAGGCCTGCTTTGCGGTGTGTGTTTCGGTGGAGAAAAGAAAATCGAACAGAGAACAGAATATGTTAGTGTTGTGTGCGAGAGTTCGGGTGTGGGATAATGGTAATGTAGAAAATATGACTGTGTGGGGGTAGAAATATGTTTAGGCGCAAGTGAGAACTATAAGCTAATGCTAGGATAATATATGAAGTACATAACTTAAGCGTCATATGTCTAGGGAGCCATCACACAGGTCCTCCAACTACGGGACATCAATCTATGGACTAATCTACAAGTTTGTGGGTATATTTAAGATATCGCTATGTTCATTAACAAAAAAGCTCACAACCACATAGACAAACAAAGGGGATTCGTCTTGTAAAGAATTTTATTCATGGTTCGATTGGATTCGTTGAGTTATCCCTCTTTCGCGTCGACAAATATCAACTCAATTACAGTACAAACGTATAAACTGGTTAATAGTAGAGTATATATTAGTTAATTTGGTTGTTTCACAAAACACTTACAAAATAAGTTCGTTTATCCATCGATCAATAATGCACAACAGTTGGTTACTTGATTTAGTTGCCGATTCTAGCTATGACTAACACTTAAAGCGCACTCTTTGATTACACATTGCACACTCTTTGATTTAATTGCTTGCTAGGCAGGTAACGGACATTTAATACAAAACTCACTAGGGCAATGTCCTCCGAGAAGACGGATGCGTTAGAAAGTACGAGTATATCTAGTAGATAGTTTGGACTATGGCAATTAGCAATTCCTATGGCAAAATTGTGGCCACGTAAAAATATAGCTTGTTAGGGCGTGGACGGAAATTTAAGGACTGCCTTAAATTTAAGATGAACTAAATTCTATAAAAATTCAAAACGAACCAGGAGTGGCACTCAGTGGCAAGCATCATCTTCTAAAGTAGTCTCTTTTTCGCCAAGTCTCTTCACAGATTACACATTGATAATATGCTAAGTTAGGTGTAAATCAATATAAGCTAAGCACAAACTCTAGTTACAGTCTAGGTGCCGTGAAATTAGCTTGGCCGCCTGAAATCCATTGAATGTCACTTCAGGCAGTTGGACGAATTTCACCGCAGACACATCAAGGCGCAGCTTAAGGCTAAGACAATCAAAGCGAGCTCAAGTTAATCGTCATTCGCTTACAGCTTCATACAGTTCGCTGGTCTAGAATCTAAGGCTTGTGGCATCGGAAGCTTTGCGCAGCCAGTAAATGAACTAAAAATCAATAAAGATTCGCACACGGAGCGCATTCAAAGCAAAGCATCTGTATCTGGAGTTGGAGCGCGGAATGCGATATGCGGATGCGGTGCGGATGCGGATGACTGATGAAGGCATGAGGATGCCCCAGCCCAGACTCAAACATGGTTGATCTTGCGCCACTGCTTCATCACAAAATTACCGCAACACCAGCTGCCCGACTGCCGTTTGCTGCCATCGACATTAAGTTCCAAGTTCGCCGTGGGCCCAGCTCCATTGCCCCGCAGCAGTTCCCGCTCCACATCGCTGTCATCGGATCTTTCTCCACCGGCCAGTTGGGGAGTGCTCCTCTGGAGCGTGCTGGTCCGCAAGGCTCCGCCGCAGTTCATCAAATAGCCCGCTCCGTAGCCGGCATAGCGGTGCGAAGTGGAGGTCTCAAAGGAGCGGTTCAGCCGGCGATCGTAGAGTCCTGGGTGTCCAGACGTATTCGGCTTCACTATAGTGGTGGCTGTGGCGTTTCCCGGCGATCTCTGATACGACTGCTGGGCCACCAGCTTGGGTGCTGGCTTGTTTTTCCTCGGCAGCAGCGGTGACGTGCACACATTGTCGTAGCCAGAACCAAACCCACTTTTAAGGCGATTCAGGGATTTCCTGGTAGCCCTCTCCTCGGATAGGGCTCTCTGGTAGTCCTTGATGGAGGGCGATCCTCCTGCAGCTCCGGATAAGGAGTATCGTTGAGCAGGTGTCGCATTCAGCGAGGAAGACACCGAACTGGAGTACAGGTTAAAGTTGTTGGGACTGGCCTCGCGCCAAATAAAGGAGGAGTTCAAACTGCCGGCGGAGTGCTGACGACCTGGTTGCTGCTGGGCATGATGTTGCTGCTGCAGGTGCTGCTGCTGCAGATGCTGCTGCTGCTGGTGGTGCTGCTGATTGAGGTAGGCTGAGTTGCCGACATGGGCTATGAAAGGCAGCTGTGGATTGGAGGTCGAGAAGGTTTTGCTCGTTTTCAGCTTGCCACCGCGGATGGGCAGACACGGAGTCCAGGGTTGCAAGGCTACAGATCGGTTTGGATCAGGTCGGATTGGAATAAAGAGAGAGAGAAAATGAAGAGATTTGAAGAAACGGAAAAACGAAATACCAACAACGACAACGATAATGACAACGACAACAGGTGAGACCAAGAACCGAAAACCCAAACAAAAAAGCAGAAGGATCACACCGCCAAAAGGAAACAACCACAATAACCAAATGTGAAGAGGGTGAATCAAGCAGGAATATGGAGGGACTGATAAAGTTTTCCTACAAGGATGAGTACGACACCAAGGGGAGAAGCGCCCACAGGATAAAGCGAATAGTACCAGTACCATTAGCAGGGAACCACAATAATACCAGTTGCAGTTAATTCAGGACTGTGGGATGAGGGTGCAAAATGGTTAGCCAAAACCTAAACCAAAAATCCAACATATATACAGAATGTGCAGCTTAATGTTAATGGTAACAAGTTGGGATGAAATGGGATAAATCGAGCCTAGGAATGGGAGTTGGAACAGACGGCGGTAAGAATAAATTAAACTAAGGTTTACATGGGTAATGGGATAACAAAAACAATGTTTATTTAAAGTAAGAAACAAAGTAATTCGAATTCAATGGTCGTCAATACAAATAATAGCTAAAGAGATACAGAATAATTGACTTCTTTTAAAGCAATAAACTTTGGATGCCTTTGCTCGCTGCTTAGCACCAATTGCAGAGTTTGTTGATCTTAAGACGAAATCAGCTGCCAATGGTACAACCAAAAATCAATCGTTTCTCTTACACATAATTTGGTAACTGGTTAACAATTTGTAGCTTAAAGTTACTGGTTCAATTAAGCCTATTACAATATTCTTGGTTAAATTTGGAAAATTCTTCTTGCTTTAGTGCAACGCCTTGTGAAAAGTGAATAAAACCATAAAATTATATAGCAACCAAACCAACAAAATGATAAGTGGTTGCCGAACTCTTAAGTGAGTCTGTGTTTTGTGTGAGGATTTTACAGCTGTGATTTGTGTGAGTGTGTAAATAAGCAACTTAACTAACAGGTTGTAACTTTTGTTCTTCAGCAAATGATAAACAAACTTGGTTCGGGAGCACTTGGAAGTCCTTACAGCTAGATGAAGCACATCTGGGATGGCCTGCGCCACTTACCCGAGTGGATGGTGTTCCTGGCATTGTTCTGGTAGGCGGCACAGTAGGCCTCGAACACCCGAAGCACCAGAGCGTCCTCCTCGTAGGTGGGCTGGTTCTTCCTACCGCTGCAGTAGCTGGCCAGGGCATTGCTGGAGCTGCTGCCGCCTCCACCGCCGCCGCCACCGCTGCCACTTCCCGATCCGCTGGTGGCATTCAACAAACTGGGGCGCAACGGCGGCGTGGGTCGCAGGCAGCTGATGGTCCAGTTAGCTGGGGATGCAAAAGATTGATGCTTAGTTTGAATATTAAAAGGGAGGAAAGAAAACCATGCAGGGACTTGGCAAGTAGAAAACATACAAGTCCTAGGAGTAAGTTCTCAATTTCTCACCCTTTGTGCTTCCTTTCCTTGCGCTTGGCACCCCCATTCCCACCGCTGCCGCCGCTGCTGCTGCCGCTGCCTGAATTGCTGGACTGGCGTCCATGGATGACGCCTGGATTGGAGCTACTGTCTTGCTGTTTGGTGTCTGGGCTGAACTTGATCTGGGGCCGGCTGCCCCCAGATGACTTGGCAGACTTGGTGGTTGTGGTGGATGCAGATGATGTGGTGGAGGCTGAGTGGGCGTGTACTGATTGTAGCTGAGGTGGTGGTTGAACGACTGGCTCCGTTTGTGATGCGACATCGAGTTGGTGGCCGGCGAGCCCTGGTGGCTGTTGCTCCCTCCGCTGCTGCTGCCGGGCGGGATGCTGCTGGGTGTGGCTGGCGGACGGCCGCCGGCTGGTAGGAGGATGTGGCTTGATGGCGGCGACATCTGCAATGCAAGAGGTGATGCGCCCTGGTTAACAGTGTTTATGTATTTCTAGTTTAATCTTAGCGCATCAAATATTGTAAGTTAGTTTAAGTCAAAGAGTATCTATGGGAACCGCCGTCAACAGGATCAGCGGTGCAATAGCAACAAGAAAACGTACAACAGCAGGTGAATCCTTCAGGCAAATACTGCAGCCAGCTAAGCGCAGCAAGCAAATCGAATCGAATGCGTTTGATTGGTTTTTGATTTGATTTGATTTTCATTCTCATTTCGAATTTTTGTGTTGTCGAGCGTTAGATAGATGTTTTGTAATTCGTTTAGCTTTACGACGAATGAAATTTCAACCCAGAGTGAAGGGAGAACTAGAGAAACTAGAACTAATGTTCATTGAATGCCATTTGATCAAATTCAGAAATCATTATTAATTATTACTTGCTATCAAACACCCTATGCTTTGGTATTGTTTTCTATCCATACTCAATAATTAGGTAGATTTGAACCTAATAACCTTTTAAATGTACATTTGAGTCGAGTAGCAATGCTTAAGAATGAAACATGTATCCAAAGAAAGATACTTAAAAGCTAATTTGTTGTTTATTACCAAGTCTTTTGAAATTTGGGCAAACAAAGAACTCGCACTGGGTTAGTCAAAGGATGTGCTGATGAGGAAGCAATGTGTGATAACTTTTTTGGACGTGCTGCATTTGGCCAAATGGTTGCTGGTAGAGCATTAGGGATTTTTGAATTTGGTGAACTTGAGAGCAAAACGAATTTACAAAACAATCAAACGGAACACGTGCACGAAACAAACGCCGCCAGCCAGGAAAACCGGATACCATTCGACAGGCATCCGAAAATTACCTGGCTGGCGATCCATTTCGGATTGCTTGCCTTCTTCGGCGCCGGAAGCAATGTGGCCAGTACATATGGGACAGTCGAGCGAGGAAGAGTCGTGGGTGGGGGCAATCATGCCCTCGTCCTCACTGCACAGTGGACAACTGGAGGATGAAGTGGTGGTCGTCGTGTTGGTGGTGCTGGTGACACTGCCGTTGTAATAATCCGCACAGTTTTGGCATACCGAGCAGTACAGTGCGCCCTCGCTGTAACCGCTGGCTCCCAAGGAACAGAAGCAGCTCGAGCACACTGATCCCGAATCTTTGGAGTCCTTGGAGGGCAAGCTCTTATTGTAGGCATGGGCTATGCCACGCACCACCTCCGGTGGCAGGCGCTCTTTCTTCCACCAGTGCGCATACATGCCCGAGCGAAAGGTGGCCTGCGGCTCCAACTGATCCGCGGAACTCGAACTAAATAAGATATTGTTGGGTGGGATATTTCTGTTAGTCTCATCCATGCTCGAGCTGGAGGGCAGAAAAATACTCCTCGTGTTCACTTGCACTTGAGCAGAGCTAATGCAAGTAGGTTCCTCTTTACGGTTGGTAGGGGTAGTGGGCTCATCGGATAGTTGAGGCTGCTCCTCTGATTGATCAACGACATCCTGAGTAGCCTCCGGAGTGAGAAACTTCTCCCTGAACATTCCGCACACATTGAACCTCTCTGGCTCCACATTATCCAACATATCGTGGCCTGCGGCCTCCATGGGAAAATATGATTCCGGGTTGGGCGGATCCGGTGAAGTAATTGTGCAACTGCCAGCCAATCCGCTGTCACTCGATCGTGGACTGGGACACTGGGAGTTTTCGCAGCAGCGGCATTTGGTATCTAAGTGTAGATCCGGATCTCTGCGTGGCGGTGGTGGAGGGGGCGGTCGATTGGACATCTGCAGGAACTGATAGCTGATGCAGCGTCTAATGGAATCCCTGCTTCTCTCGGGCGGGGTGTTGCGCTTTTTTGAGGAGGTGTCGATGCAGAGCTCGGTGGTGGAACTACTTCTTGTGGCAAGATTTGGATCTGTCCTTGGATTTCCTGTCGATGGACTGTCGCTTTTGTGGGAAACCCGCTTATCCGAGTTAAGATTGTGGCCTGGAAAAGGCGTAAGATCCCGATGGAGCTGCATAGGATTTTCCAAGATCTCGTCGTAGTTGTAAAGCAGTTCTGCTTGCAGTTTATCAGGAGCGGATAGACAGGCGGCGGGTAGGTCAATGGAACTGGAGTGCAACTCCTTATCCTGCTGCGCATCCACACTCTGATTCTGCATTTCCTGGCGATCTCGCCACGTTGGAACATATACCTCTGTATTCTTGCTGTGATTAAATCGATTGCCCACAAATATGGTTGGCATGCTGTGCCGTTCTGTCGGTGAAGCTGGCAGGGGAGTGGGTGGCTCTTGGACTCTTGACTCCCTGCTGAGATCATCAGGCATACTGGCCAGATTCTCGCAGGCGGTGAATGCACCGCCCAATCTAGCTGCAAAAATGGAACTGGCATCGGAACTTTGTTGTTGCAGGGAGAACGATGGTTTGACCTTTAGAATTGGCTCCTCCTCAACACAGTTTGTGATGCTGCCGCCGACACCTAGCTCCAAAGTTGCCGTGGATGTGTGCACACTGGAATTTCGAGTCGTGGAGTTCCGAACCAAAGCTCTTAATGCCCTGGATCCTATAACAAGAGACTCCTTTTTTAACTCGTTGAGCGCTAGAACTTTGTCCGTGTCTGCGGAATCCAATCTAATAAGGTTAATAGAGGAACAGTGCCTCCTGGCACCCGTGCCGTGGTCTACAAAAGTGCCTGTGGAATTGCACAGGGAATCATTGCGCTTGTTTTGGTAAAACTGCACATATTCAAACGGATCCGAGTCGCAGGAATGCAAAAAATCATCTTCAAAGTCATCGTCATAGCTCTCCGAGTCCGTTGGGAGTTCAATTGCATCCTGTCGTTCCAACTCGGACTGCCCCGAATCCTGGTTGGCATTGAGATCTTTTAACTTTGCAGATGCCTTATGACAACGTTTTTTGCGCAACGCAATCCTCTTGAGATCGATGCTCTGGCGAGCCTGCGGATACAGAAGCATCTTTACGATAGCACTCCTCAGTCCTCCGCCTTTGACAAGCCTGGCAAAGTGAGCACTAAGATTGGCGTACGGAGCTGTCGCTGGGTAGTTGCTTGGGGGGAGAGTCACACGGAGGGGTCGCACATGGCACGGGGGGCTGGTGTAATAGGCACATAGCGAGAATCGCGTGCAGTAGCCCCGTGAATCCAAATGTTGACTCAGCTGCTCACGGTTTAAAGTGTCACCAAAACGAAACGATAATAAAGGTGAATATAGAAAAATTACTCTACTTACATGAGCGGCATTTAGGTGTCCTAGCGAAGAGTTGCTCAAGTTGCCCAATTGCCGTTTGATGCCCATGGGCAAGCTGGGATTGTTGGCACTAAGCAGCTCCACCCACTTGTTGGCCTCATTCGGACCCTGGCAAACTGCTACAATGCGATCAATCAGGGGACTGTTTATCTCAAATGCGTTCTTGAGGGCATCCGTGTCCTCCAGTCGATTCACTATGATCCCAGTTAAGGGTAGCTTGCCCTGCGTGTAAAAACAGATTACAAACCGATTCACCATTTTGTGCTAATTTTTCCCACCTCATATATGAATGCACTCATCCGCTGACTAACGCTAAGGAAAAGCAATGTTTGTGGGAAGAGCACAAAGTAGCGGTCGCGATGATCAGCTCCAACTGCTACACTGCCCATGTGGATGATGTCTCCAAGGGTGCTCAACTCTTGGCCCTGCCATCCACGCACTGGCCCCGTGAGCACTTGCAGCTCCAGCTCTTTCTGGCGACGGGTGGCCGAGCAGGTGGCAGCTATGTCTTTGTACACGGCCACACTGCGCTGGGTGTCGCCGCGGTCCGGATGACTGCTCTCCATATGTCGCTCCAGCTCCTGCAGCATGGCCGAGTATTTGTCCAGTCGCCGAAAGGGCTTTGATAGCCCTGTCGTGAGCACAAGTAAACCAGGAGTGGCTGCACCCTGTCGTTCCATATACTTTTCCAGATCGTCCCTTTCAAAATAAATACCATTCATATTTAATAACAAATTAACACAATATGGGATGGGAAAGCATACTTGTACTTATCCAGTATGACTATGGCCTTCGGATGGGCAGCACAGTAGGCCTGGTGGACTTTCTTCATCAAGGGGGCGCTGGTGAGAAATAGTTTTCCCACTCGATCGTTGCACTCCTCGATCTGGATGAGCAAATCCTCATGCGTTCGGACAATTTCCACGAAGTTACACATCAGCTGGGCGTACTCATCCTGACTGAGTCTGTTGGAGGTGGAATTTTAAAATATTTAAAATTATATCAGAAAATAGGAAACATACATCTGCGTCTGTTGCATGGGCTCCAGGAAATTCTCGAGCAGACCCTGCAGCTCGGCCACATGGGCTCGCTCCGAGTCAAGCAGATCCTTGAGCACCACAGACCGATACTCCTGGATCTCCTCCGGCGGCCTTATGGTCTCCGTCAGAGGCAGCTGCACCTTGCACTCATTGACGTAGTTGCTGGGAAACCAGCCAGTCTTATCGTTCAGCGTTCCCTCCCACCAGCCACCATCCTCTCGCTGGGTTACCGTGATGACATCGCCCTTCTGGAAGCACAACTCGTCGTTGTTGCTGCCCATGAAGGAGTACTCCGCCTGCACAACCAGTGGCTGATCCATTGTCGGATTGTTCAGGGCTGATCCGAGTCCGCACTAGAGTGATTTAACTGAAACGAGGCGATGAGTATTGAACTTGAAACACCAGCTAGGCAATTTGCTCAATGAAATAACATATGTGAGCATATCTCTCGTTATATACAGCACCTACGCATTATGGCAGCGATGAGCTACATCATCGTCGATCGCTCGGAATTCCTCAGCTTTTTGGCATTAGCCAAGCAATAATTATGGCCCCAAAGAAGAAAACATTTTGAAAACATCTGTCGAGAAACGCGTGCGCAAGTTTCTTGACACTTTTCCGGCGACTCCCCTCCGGATTTCTTTCCTTGTTTACTTGAAGTGTCTGGAAAACTCGTGCGCTACTCGATGGCCAAGGTCACACAAGCTGCGAGGATCCATTAAAAAATTGGGGAAAAATCACTCGCGTATTGTGAAAGAAAAACTTTTCGGGCCATAAAAACAATTTGAATAGCCGGACAGGCGAACATATAAATCATAACCAACGGCCACGTCGCGATTATAAATATTTACGACCGTTTTTATTTGGTTTGTTCGAACAACTCTTTAAGAGGTCAACATTTGATTTAATTGTTGAACACATTCGTTGACGGAAATGGGATGGGCACTTTGGATTCTGAAAGCAAGTGCACTAGATCCAACATTGCACGTAAAAAGCAAAATTGCAAAAATATTTTCGAAAAACTCGAGAGTTATATTGCGACATTGCTACCCACAATCAAACCTAAATATTCCAAAGCAAAATCCAAATCTTGTGTATGAGTGACTCCTTGTAAATGGAATGTTATAAAAATGGGATATAAAACCACATTTGCTATTATTTAAAATTGGCAGCACACTTCGCTACTATTATTGTAAGAATTTCAGTTTGTTTTTAAATTCTGGACTGAAGAAGTCAAAAGAACTGATCTAGTTTCTAGACCCCGTATATATAAATAGATGTATCACATTGTTGCGCTATTGCCGCAATGAGTAAACGCAAAAATATGAATAACTTGGTTTATTTTGCCCAAATATTTTTTCTGAATGCTAAAAATAAAAAACCGAGGAAAATGTACATATTGGCGGATCGCAAGTCCTATATGGCCAACTGAAACGTTTAGTTTTTTGCGTATTATTACAGCTCTAAGAGATTGTCAAGATTTATATGATGAATTCTGATGATATGGGAATTCTGACCGAGAACGTTTCCCTAAGGCAAGGTCACGTTTTGGATGCACACACGCATGAAAGTGTCTTAAAATGTCGCTTTTTCGCCACTTGGCACTCGAATACATATGTATACCCGCTAGTCTGTTGTATAGATGTTGATATATACTTTTTTGACAATAAATTGTGGTACGAAAATTTGCCGTTTTTCGCCGTTTTTGCTGCTCTCAGACGTTGCACCGCACGCGTTCATTGCTTCAGCGAAACTGCCGAGAAAAGCGGAAAATACCGAAAAGCTGGCGACATATGGCAGCCGAATTTTCCACGGCAACCGAAAGTGCCACTCTCCCAGCCATTTTCTGAGAGTCCCATCGGATCGTAGGCGAATCGAATATATTTTCACATGTACGCGAGCGCTTTCGACCGGACACATCGCATATTTTCACGGAAAATCAACAGAGATATGACAAAAAATATAAATCCGGGGACAACCTTTTCATCTGCGTTTCCAAAATGGGGGTTCGGGGGATTGTGCTGTATCTTAATGTATTTCATTGAGAAACAAGCGACACCAGCGGCATTCCTCGATGTGATTTCGCATTGTGTTTTGAAAAAACCCATAAAAATATTTGTGCTTAAATATATGTGGCATGCCTATGCGATGTGAGATCTTCCATGTTTGCGGATTCAGTCATCAATCGAAAAATTCTGCATTTCAAGCAGGTCTGGGTTGGAAACATTTAGAATTATTTCAGAAAATTTCACCTGTTCCGCTCAGTTTCCTGTTGGTTTGAACATAGCTATACAATATGCATAGGTCTTTTAGAATTAAAAATTTTAAATCGCGCGACACACATTGTGGCTTTAGTGGGATAATGGCCTCTGGAAACGTCAAATTCGCATTAAATTTAGAATTTCTTATAGGATATACATTTTTCAAATTCCATTCCAGGACAAACAAGGAAGCTGGAACGTTAAACTATATTGAACAAAGATGTTTAAGCTTATATCCCAGCCAGACAATATTCTTTCGATGCAATGCTACAATTTTAGGTCTCATCTTCAAATCTGCCGTGGTCAGATGTGGGCAAAAATATTCGTTATAGATGCAACGCCAAACCCAAGCCAAATGTATGTCACTTTCCTCCACTTCGTTCAACCCTGAAAACACTTTAAGTCCATGGCCGGGCACAATCGAATTTCCGTAGGTGGTGGTGCTCCAAACGATGCATCGGAGGTCAGATGAGCAGATGCATAAATGCAGCTACCGAGTGGCACACACGCAGATATGTGGGCACACACATATGTACATACATATTCCATTGAAGCTCTCGGAACCAAATTTTAATTAATTCATTAAACTTGCACATGGCGCCGCGCAGATCGGCAGTGCAGCCCCAGAGGCAGATACAGATGCAAGTTTCAGATACAGATACACCCGGCCCACGCTCTCCGAGTATAAGAGACAACTCTTTTGGTTATTAACGATCCGTCGCTGAACGCGAAATTCAAATGAATGTCCTACGGCTTCCGGAAATGCGCAATTTGGCGAGAAAAACGTCGCATCCATCCGAGGGGAGCACCCCAAATCAAATCACCGAATGTTTATTTTCGTGGGACGCTGGGAACGTAAACAACAATGACGAGAGATGTAAGAAAAGCGAGTGGACTTTTCGCGTTGCTTGCTTTGTTTTGCTTGGCAAAGACAGCGGCAAAGACAAACAAAGTCAGCCAAAGACAAACCAAATTTATGCAGTTCTGCCTTGTCGGGACCGGATCCGAATCGCCATCCCTACTACCTCAGCCGAACTGCACTCAATAAGGCCTCTTCAATGTGTCAATACCGAGATTTACAGGCTGCACCGCAGCCACTTGAGATGCATTTCCTCAGATATATGAACGTAATATGGTTTGATTGCTTTTCTCGCCGTATTTATAGATACTTGGCGGAGGAAGTCATTGGTGGGTGTGGGCACGCCGAAGAGGTGAACGAGAGGTGGGAGTTCCTATAACTTGTGGGGATCCAATGTTCTCGACACCAACACGCCAACACACCAATAACGAGGTCACCAGCGGAAATATGAAGAAATGCTGTTTTTCAGCAGCCATGAATGAAAATCAGGCGCATGATTTGACGGCCAATGGTTTGTTTTGGGAAATCGCAGGCCCACGTACAGATTTTCCCAAAATGCTTGCATTAAAGCGTAATAATAACAACCATAAGGCGTAAAGACGAAAGTGATTCGACTGGGATTTACCCTAGACATATGCAAAGTTGCCTAAAATATATCAACAATGTAACTTTTCAAGCCTTAAAATGTAATATATTGTGTTCTTTCGTTTGAATAAGTAATTATTTTTGATTCAAAGATTATTTCTGATGTAACTATATGAAATATATACATATTTTTAAAGTGGTATTGAACTGGTGGTTTTCTTTAAGCCGAAACCAAGACCATTTGTGAGCAAAGAAAAAAATGAATTTGCATTCAGCTTGCCACCGCCTTTCATAGCAAATTCTCTTGGCAGCGGTTCAAAATTGTTCGGGTAATGATGCTTCTTGGTTCTGGGGATCCAATGAGCAAGTGGCAGGCACCGAAACGTGCCTCCGTCGTCGTCCGGCTGTGCATTTTATTCTCGCAACGAGTGCTAGCAAACAAACGCTCTTCGGGAAGAGCAGGAACGGAAGTCCCACGAGGAGCCCTGCTATTGACCCAATGGATTATGCAGGCGGGCCTCTGAACTCCAGAAACCGGCAACAAATTACTATTACACGAGCAGCAGCAAGTTGAACAACAATTGTGCCGACAGTACAGGAGTCATTCTATAAAAAGTATGCTTTTCTTTTGAGTTATAAGCCCAACTAAATGGTTTTTAAAAACGCTGTTTCATATTTTTTATATTGATGTGATGGCTAAAAGAAGGGTGGGTTTATAGAGTAATTTAATAAAGACAACATATTAGTCCACCAAATACTAATTTTATGAAAGATTTCTTAAGAGATGAGGAGGGAAGATTCCAGAAACAATATTTTTAATTTTTTAGGAGAAATGTGGTTCTTAAAGACGGCAGAAAACCCATTCTTATATATGCAATATAAAAGACCCATGGCGTTCCTTTTAGGAAGGCTTGATTGTGTCTGCCGTTGTGGGGATGTCTATGATGCCTCTACTTGGATGACGCATAGTGGGGTGTATTTTCTGATGTCACTGTACCTTTGCCAGACGAATAGTTATTGGAAAACCTGACTCATTTTCCAGCCAAGCTGTCTGAAGGGTTTTCTTCACCACTAGATTTTAGCTCACCTTCAGCTGCGTTTCGTTTTAACAAACATTTGTTGCTGCCTGTCGTTCGTTGAGCAAAAATAGAATAGTGACTAATAGTGGAATTTTCCCAATTTCGTTGGTTGCACGACTTATTCGCCCTTATTATAATATACACAATTAGTTATATAGTTAAGGTTAAAAGCAGCACACTTTTTACTATTTATTGCCCGATTTTCTGGTTTCTTTTCTAGGCGGACGCGATCTGAACTGCGCTCACTTATTTTTCGAAATACTTGTTTACTCTAGTGCCGATTCCGTGTTGCTGGCGTTAACCGCGTGGAGTGCCCTTTCGTGAACCAGGTGCACTTATTTAGGCACTTTTAGCAACTCTCTTTTCCCATGGCAAACATAAATAAAACACAGCGCACGACCAAAATAGAAACCTAGAAAACCAGGGCTGCAATCGCCCGCAGCTAAATTAGGGATGTGTGCGTGCCAACAGGTCCTCGGCATCGATAGTGCTATGGAGGAGCATTCCGTGACTTTGCATCGATAGTTTAATAGCTTGAAATGGTAGTTCTATTTATGTTAACGAGCCTCCTTAACTAGAATTAAGTGTGCGCATTCAAAAATAATATAGGCCGTGTTTCGTCCTATATATTTTTTATTATTACTTTAAGTACGCTAGTCTGTTGCAGTTATAGTTTACTGTTATAGCCTTATTTTTGAACATATTGATGCATTTTAATAACTAAACGTGTTTTTTTCTTAATATATTACGAATGTGAGAATTACTAGAACAAATTTTAAATGAAGGAATTTATATAATATTAAAATATATAATAATATAATAGAATAATATTTTCACTGCCTTTGAGTAATGCAAAGTCAAGATGCGCGCACATTTTCAAGTTAATGCTGGTTGCCGCTAGTCACGGGTTTTTGGCCTGTGCACCTCTATCACGGCATTTCGCGATTAGTGTTGCACAACGCCGTAACTCATTTTACCGATTTCACACGTGTTTTAGTGAGCGCACGTTTAGTTTTCATTTCTTCGCGAAATTCTCACAGCAAAAATGGCTGAAGTTGCTGAAACCCCGAGTGTGGAGACCCAGGAGGAGGTGGCACAGCCCGCTGAGGCGCAGGTGCTGGATGCGAAGAACGGGGACGCCAAAGAGGGGCCGGCTCCCGCGGCAGAGGAATCCGCTGGCGACTTCTCCAAACAGGAGCGCGCCATAATCCGGCAGGTAGAGTACTACTTTGGCGATGCCAATCTGAATCGGGACAAATTTCTGCGCGAGCAGATCGGCAAGAACGAGGACGGCTGGGTGCCTCTGTCGGTGCTCGTTACCTTCAAGAGATTGGCCTCCCTGTCCACGGACTTGACCGAAATCGTGGCTGCCCTGAACAAATCCGAGGAGGGCCTCGTGGAGATCAGCGAAGACAAACTCAGTCTGCGTCGCCATCCGGAGCGTCCCATTCCGGAGCACAACGAAGAGCGGCGCAAGGAGATCCAGGAACGAACGGCCTACGCGAAGGGCTTCCCACTAGATTCGCAGATTAGCGAACTGCTCGACTTTGCCGCCAACTACGATAAAGTGGTCAACCTGACCATGCGCAAGCACTACGACAAGCCCACCAAGTCGTATAAGTTTAAGGGCAGCATCTTCCTTACCTTCGAGACCAAAGAGCAGGCAAAGGCCTTCCTCGAACAGGAGAAGATCGCTTATAAGGAGCGCGAACTGCTGCGCAAGTGGCAGGTGGACTATCTTAAGGAGAAGCAGGAGGAATATGCCCAGAAGAACGAGAAGCGCAAAAACAAGAAGGAGGCCAAGCCTGAGCCAGCCTTCGAGCTACCCAAGAACGCCATTGTTGTCTTCGAAGGTGCTCCGGAGACCTCTAGCCGCGAGGAGATCCGTGAAGCCTTTGAGAAGATAAAGGACTTCGAGGTGGCGTACATTGAGTTCGCCAAGGGCGATACAAAGGGCTCTGTGCGGCTGACCGAGGCCGATGCAGCCGAAAAGTACATTGCCAAGGTGGAGGAAGGCAAGGTAAGAATCAGAAATGGAGTTATAACTTTTACCTCATCAGCTGATCCGTGACCGTACTTGCCTATCCACAGCTCAAGTTCAACGATGAGGTATCTTTGTCTCTGCGAAAGGCCACCGAGGAGGAGGAGAAGGAGTTCATCGACAAGGCCATCGAGTTCATGAAGAAGCGACGCGATTTCACCAGGAACAAGGGCAAGCGCTTCAACCGCAAGCGCCACGGCGGAAACGACCACAAACACGGTGGTGGTAAGAAGGCGCGTGGGGATTAACTCATCCATTTATATTCCGCCACCCGAGTCTTTTGACGGCAGTAGACCAAGCTTAATTGTTACTCGGTAGATCTAGTTGACCTAGCTTTAAGGCCTTACATATAAACCACACGCTTTCTCTTAGCTTGCGAAGTAATCGTAGGACGTACGGAATATTCTTCAAAAATGTATGTATAGTCTGTTACATAAATAACGATATGGACTCTAATTTATTTTACATAGAAGACTACGAATCCATTTGTTTCCCTCAGCAGAAAGTTACAAATAAAGACCAGTGTGTAAAACCCCAATCTTCTTCATTAGTTTGTATTTTCATTTATTATTGCTGTTTTGTGTATTTTCGATCTCTTTGTGTGTTCGTGTGTGTATTAAATTATGGTAAATGAATTTAACTTAAAAGCATAAAATTTAATATTACAAGTACTTAAATGCATTTACAATTATGGATAAATGAAACAAAATTGTTCAAAACTGTTAGAAAAATTATAATAGCAGTTACAATTAGGTAATATAATGTTTGTTAGGGGTTTGCTTTGCATCATCAGCTTGTACAATTATATAGACGTCGCTTACAACTTAGACGCACTTAGGTAGAATTAAAACTAAGCGAATTAACTAAATAGTTTGGGCTGCATAGCAACGCCGACTAAAATTAAATTAGGCTATCAAGTAGTTCTTGCGTTATACATTGACATTGTAGTTAATAGGGGAACAAAACGATAACTTCACAAGGTAAACAAAGATCTGCGCAAGCACAAAAGTTTTACAACATTTTTGGATAACTATTTCAACAAACGAAATTTTTTCTCTGAACTGGGAATCGTATGCGAACATTGGTGTATTCTGAATGATTAATCTGTCGCTCATGCTGAATCGAAAGCAGGAGCCGGGATACAAGTAAGGTCGAATATATGTGCACTTGCTATACGCGGATACAAGAGTTATGATTACATGTTCTTAACCAACTTTTACGCATACTTTAAACAGTTATAAACAACGACATCGTATTGCAATCTGCGATAATATAATGTGTAGCGACGTGTAAGATAGCTCCTCTATAAATAGTAAGTGGTGGGGTGCGCTCAAGCAGATCTCTCTGTAGCCGGCAGAAAATGTACAAAGCTTCAGCCAGGAATTCTCGGTATTCTCCTCTGCTTATTCACTAGACTAACACGATTTACAAACGAGGCTCCTCGAGGCTCTATCCTTTAAGTGTACAACAGTCGATCTAATTCATATCTATGTTTGTATGTAAATAGCTAAACACGCAAGTGCGTTCTGAAGGCCCTAAAACAGCAACGCTGAAACTGAAAATTCTCACAGGTAAGGTATGTGGTCAGTAATCAAATAGTGTCTGTTGTCTGTTGTCTGTCAATGAGTCATCATCAATGTCTGTAGTCAATGGTAGTATTGCGATGTATAGCCAAGTCAGTCGTTAGAACTCCATTGCCACCATCCTACGGTCTTCAAACGCATTGCGGAGTTATCCTATTATTGATCTGATTCACGCCTACTTCCAGACGGGCGTTAGATCCAGGGTGAGATTCTGAATGGTGCGGTTCCTGGCAGAGCTGCGCTTCTGCTTCACGGAGCTGGTGATCTCGTTGACCAGTCCCTGGCAGTCGTTGCACACGGTCACCTGCTCGCCTCGTAGGTTCTCCTTTTGCTCCTGCGTCTGGGCAAGATGGCTGCCCGATGAGAACAGGTTGAATCCCCTCGAGAAGCGGGATCTGAGAATAAATTAAGGTTAAAATACGCATTGCATCACAAGCCAAACGAAAAACTCACTTCCTCTCCAGGGTGCTGTTGTTGGACAGCGGTCGATATGCTGGACTGTGCACGGGCAGACTTCGGGGTCCCTCCATGCTCCTCGACATGGCGTTGTTGTAGTGCTGCTTCTGCTGCTGATGGACGCCCGAGGGTCGCATGGCCGCGGAATACGAGGACGACATGGTCGCCTGGTCGTGCAGAGCCTCCACGGCCTGACCAGTGGCGGCCGCTGATGAGGAAGATGCACCGGGTCCAACGCTGATCCCCGGCGTGCTCATGTTTGATCTTTGGTGCTTGGGTGATGATGGGGCACTGCCCACGGTGCTGCGAGTCTGGAGGAAAGGAATCCAAATTAATAATTGCATGTTTACTAGTCAGACTGTTGGGAAGCCTACCTTTCGCTCGGACTCGGAGCGCAAAAGACGCTCTATCAGCGACTTGGGGAACTGGTCGTCCATGATGTTCCCCGTCGAGGACGAGTGCGCCTGCTGGGCATGATGGGAGGGTGATGGGGTGCTCGAGCTGGCCGGACTGGACAGCAGCGATGGCGAGATCAGCACGAGGGGCACGTTGCGGAAATGCTCCGAGGGAATTCGCATCTGGGAAAAAGACAAATTGTAAATATGCAGGCCTAGGGTTAACCATTACCCAAAAACCCACCTTGGTATAGCACTTGGCGCAGACCGTGCGCTGGCACAGCTTGCACTGGATGCCCCAGGGACCGAAGAAGGAGAACCGAGTGCGCAGGCACAGGAAGCAGACGCGACGCTTTTCAACATCCTCCTTGACGCGCACGTCCATCGGCAGGCCCTCCAGCTCCGCCTTGGTCATGACGGAACGGATGTGAACGATCTCCGCCAGCGTGACGGACAGGCGATCGTCCCCCCGTTCCATCCACGTCTGTTTGTCCATGAAGGACTTGTTCCATGGCCCAAGCGAGGATGTTGAACTGCCCTCGTCTGAGGGTTGGGTCTGCTCCGCAGGACTCCTTCTGGGCGTCTGCAAAGGATTAGTAAGCGAATTACTTAAAAAAGCTCAGCTATTGAAATACAGTTTGAATGAGCTTCAAACTTTACTGGTTTCATGTGCTCCAAGTGAAAGGAAAGATCTAGCATATGGAAGTCCCACCCCAGATGGTTGTACGTCCTCGAAAGGATAATACAAAAGTAGGGAGCACACACACCCTTGCTATCCTCATTGCCACTGTGCTGGCGGACTCACCTCCTTGCTGACGTCGTCCGATTGACGCGACTCGGGCCGCGTGGGCGGCATGGAGTGCGTCTCGTCCAGGTTGCTCTGGCATCCAACGATGGTGTGGCGGCGCAGGGAAGCTCTCCTCGACTCGCACTGAGTGGCCAGGTCGTAGGCTGTCAATTAAAGAGAATAGGGCGCATTCAGTCAGGGTCAACGGGGCGTCTGAGTTA